AACTCACGGATTCGGCTGGAGGCTATGTTTCGCTGATAATGAACTATATTGATCCTATTCCACATCGATGATTAAGCCCATTAAGCACCGAATTGGGCCAAATTATTTTGGGATGGCATTTTCGTAATTCTTTGCGCGATTTTTTTTAAAGGCTATTTTCCTTGGATTTTGAAGGCTGCAGATCACGAATTCGGCCTCAGGCTATTCTTCAACGATGATTAAGTCCATTATGCACTTGTTTTGGTGGATTTCTTCCTGGTCCATTTTTGGTAGATTCCGAAGGGGTACCATCACAGATTTCGGGCGATTTTTCAGAAATGTCATTTTCGTTCAATTTCGTAGGCTACAGATCACGGATACGGCCCGAGGCTATTCGCCACCGATAATGAACTATATTGATCCTATTCCCCGGTGATGATTAAGCCCATTAAGCACCGAATTGGGCCAATTTATTTTGGGATGACATTTTCGTAACTCTTTGTGCGATTTTTTTTTTTTTTTTGAAAGACAATTTTCTTTGGATTTTTAAGGCTACTGATCACGAATTCCGCCTGAGGCTTTTCTTCAATGATGATTAAGTCCATTAAGCACTGATTTGGGTGGATTTTTTTCGGGTTTTGACAGATTCCAACGGGGTACATTCACAGATTTCATGATCGATTTTTCTGAAATGCCATTTAGTTACATATATTCTATGTATGAAATTCCTTTGTATTCATTTGCTCGTTTTGTTTTCATGTTTGATCGCACTACACAACATATTTGTTAGAGTAGTCAAAAGAGTAAAAGAAATACCACATTGGTGGGAGAAGGAAAGTGCAAGTTGTTTTTAAGTTTGCTTTCCACTTTAGTTATTGGATAAAGTGGTAAGTGGGCTTTTGGAAAAAGTGTGGGCTATTTAATTTGACATATTAAATCGGATTTGAATTTTTGGCTAATTAGTTATCGGAATTAATTTTAATTAATTAATCCTTATAATTATTTGATGTTTGACTTTTGTGAAACGACGTAACCCTTCGGAAGGGAACTGCCGTTTTCATTATAAAAGTCTTCTGCAGCCAGACTTCTCGTCCAATGTTTATCTTCTTCTCCTCGTTTTTCCTTCTCCAAAAACACAAACACAGAAGTCACGAAAGGTGCTGCTTTCTTACTTTGATTGGAGGGACTCCTGTGGGTGGTTTGCCTAAATCCTACCAGCAACAACGTAGTGGGGACAAATAAACACTCTAAGGAAAGTGATCAAAATCACGCCTTCAATCCATTTTCTCCATACTGTTTCTCTGACAATATTTGCACCTTATAATTTTACATTATATCATACGGCCAACCCGCACGGTAACTATCATTATATTATTTGTGAGTGATCTAAAGTAGCATCACTGGACTGCCAATGATAGATGTTATAATCTTCCTCGTTTGCCATCTGCAACACTAGTGGATGATTTCGGATAGTTTTCATTTTTCATTGGCTGCTTTTTTAGATCCGTCTTCCAATGTAGGCTGATATTGTTTGATTTCTCTCTAATAGTGTCATAATTGTTAAATGTATGTGAGAGGTACTAATTGACGCTCTAACTTTTTAAAATTTGTCGCTCCAACTTAGATAATTTGACATTTTTGCCCCTAAAATAATTCCAATCTGTAACAAATTTCACTCTAGCATTTTTTTCTGTCGCTGTCGTTCGCCCTGAGAGTCGTCGCCGTTCACCCTGGGAGTCGTCGCGCATCGCCGTCACAACTGCCTTCTCTTCATCTTCTTCCCCTCTCGATCAAGCTTCAATTCCCATCACTTTCTGGCTTTCGATTTCTCACCCTCCTTCCTCCTCAACCGCGGCGACCTTCCAGCTCCTTCCTTGACTGCAAAGAACCCAGCAGTAGCAGAATCCCCGCGTCGTCGACGGGCGGAGCAGTGCAAGGGGTAGGGCGATGGAGGTTGCGCTGGCAAGTGGGATTGAAGATGGAGGGAGGTTGGATTGAAGATGGAGGGAGACGAAGAGATGGGCGACTTTTGGTGTCGGAGGTTGTATTGAAGATGGAGGGAGATGAAGAGGTGGGTGACAGCAGAGGAGGTGGTCGGCAGGATTCTTTTTTTTTTTTTTTTTTTTTGCTTCGATAGGGGGAGCAAAGCAAGGGCTAGGGCGAAGCAGGCAAAATTTGGGATTGGGGTCTGGAGCCAGTTGCTGCCATTTTAGTGATTAGGGGTAGTTTTCGTCTATATGGTAAGGTTAGGACGTTGAATTTTAAAAAGTTAGAGCGTTAAATAGGAATTCGGGTACACTATCCTGCTCACAAAATTGTCACCGCTATTTTCACACATCCGTCACAAAACGCTCAACGCGCAATTTCCTAACTGGGTCCCTTGTGTGCACATTCTCAAAGAAACAACTTATGAACACCATAGTCGGGTTGAATTTCGTCTACTTTTGAGAATTCATGCTACCACCAACGTGGTTCCGCCACTCACCACAATATGTAGTACAGGTACGGGGTACATGTACATGACCATGAATCAATGAATGCCATGCAAACGTAAGTACATATATGCATTTAAGAGACTCTCACTCTCACAGTGAGTCAGTCGTTGGCACTTTCCGGTGGCCACAAAGCTGAAAGTCCCAAAAGTTTGATGAGTTGGGTTGGGAATGATGAAGAGATCCTTTCACCTTATTAATGTTTGTACGTCGAGACATATCACTTCCACTTCACTTGTTGATTTTCCCATCAAAAACTCTAAGTCCACTCCTGTTTCATGGGGTCGTGTATTACTTCGATGGTGAATCAAAGTGCAGGCATAGCTAACTGTCAGCCGTTGGCCCAGTACTAACTTTGCCTTTTCCAGGTACTTCTCCCCCAAGACATATGGGCTGTTTGTTTGGCCTTATAAAAACAGTCATCAACAGCCATTTACGTACATATAATTTTTTTTTAGAGAAGCCATTTTACTATAATATGGGGTTGATGTTAAAGAACAACTTTCAGTTAAATGAAAGAATTGGGTTATCTCCATATCGTGTACAGTGGCGGAGCACGTTATAGCCAGGAGGGGCTATAGTACACCTCAATTCTTAAAATCGTGTAAATTTACGTGTAAGGTTTATAACAAATTTGAATAATAGAGTAGGTGGCAATCCTTTTGCCCTTTAGCCCCCTCTTGGGTTCCAATCGCTTGAACGTGAATTTTTAGCCCCCCCCCCCCTCCTCTTTTAGATTTTTGCCTCTGCCATTGTATGTGTAGGATATTTATGTTTCAGAGAGATCCAATGGTATATGACATGTTAAAAATTCATATTTATAAAACCATCTTTAGCTATCAACATTGTAAAAGGAAACATATCTTGTTTCGAATCTGGAGGTGCTAGTTTCGAATCCCTTTAATAGAAGTCTACTGTACGAACTATAAGCACATCAATTTCACAAAACGTTGCCTTGTGGCCTTTTCAATTTTCTACACTTTCCTCCCCAATGTTCTATTTAATTATGGTTTCCCACCTTAGAAGAGGGGAATTCCTTGCGTTCGTTGAAATTAATTATCTGCTGAAAAGAAAGGGGAAAATGAAATGAAATGAAATGAAATGAAACGAAAGGGAACTTATCAAATTCTTTGCAACAAATACAGGGCATCCGGTTGACCAATAATCATCATTATGGTTACCAAAAAAGAAATCCAATCATTCCAACATAATGATAAAAATGATTACCCTCTTGACCTCTTCCATGGTTTGCCAATTGTCGGGCGGTCCCACAGCAAGTGCCAACCACCACCATGTCCACAACAAGAACACGATCTCTACCAAATAAATGAGCAACTAGTACCACACCAATTAATAATAATGTGACACACAAGTACAACTTAGTCCAACTCAATTGAAATCCCATTCTTGAATTTGAGAGCAAAAGAACATGAAATAATTAGAACAACTTTTTCCCTCATTGGAGCATGCATAGGCTTGTGTAAACTTTAACCTCGTGGTTTCTCTTTTAGTTAAGGGTACATATAAGAAACTTGTATAAGATTTATAGTTAGAATTTACTCAATAATTAGAATTACTAAGACTAACTGATGTTTCACATAATAATCAATAATCAACAATGAATAAAGCAAATGAAAATGTGAATAGAATTTCACCCTAGATCACTTTTGACAACAATAGATTCGTTAATGTATCTATTGATGTGGGGTTGGTTGCTATCAGGGCACGGGTTTTAATTTATGGTTTGCTTCGAATCTCCATAATTTTTGAATCAACCTTCTCCAGTTTCTCTTCGGATACCTAAGTGGTCCTCTTTGCAAAACAAGGCAAATATTGACGTTTTTAGATATTGAAATTTTGATGCTCAAATTAGTGAAGAATTAGACTCGAAGAACAGAGATATTAGGGTTTTGAAAAATAATGTCCGCCTCTTCTACGAGGGGACCAATTTGTGGGGGATTGGCTTGGACCGATAAGATGTGTTTTAGCTTTATTTTCTTGGGTCAATATGAGGGCTTAAATGCTGTTAACTCGAAAATCTTAATTCACTAAATCTTAATGAAGATTCGGGATCTAGCCACATATGCTTACAATTCATTATCTCCTTTACAAGCTTTGTCGAAGCTGTAATATTGAAGTTTCTTTATTCTTAGGATGTTTAGGTGCTTTTAACATTGCCAGAATAATGTGACAAAACAAGTTACAAACAACTCATAATTTGAGAGGTAAAAAAATGTGTATTCAAGATTGAAAAGAGTTTCGAGATAAGAGATGAAGAAATGAACCATAAGAACATATTTATCCTAATTTAGATAAATGTAACCATTTACACATTCCTATTTGATAGTACCTAAAATGATTTACTTTCCACTCCTCAAATATTTTCCTCAAAAGTAACATACCCACTTTTTTCCTCAAGAAACATAGGATTAAGGAAACATCCCGTCACTAAACTACAATATCTTCATCACTGAAAAATGACAACCAGCAAAAGATGGGAACAAACTACAGGCCTGCAGAACTCCCATACTTGGATGAATTCGATCTCAACTGATAGATTTGGGACCTTGGAGTGCCCACTCTGCCACCTTGGGCTAGCTTTAACAAAAACGCTTAATATATAGCTTTCTTCTTTCTTTCTTTGCCCACTCTGCCACCATGGAAGTTGTGCTCCCTTCCACTACCAAACAAAACCACCCATCACTCTGTCTCTCTCATTACCTTCACCTTTATTGTATTCACTGTCCACAACCATCACCTGTCTGTTCTGAATTGGATCGAAACACACACCCCTTAGGACAACTTGCATCTCCTCTTTTGTTCCCCTGGCTTAGTGGGTTTAGTGGAAGTTCATCTCAGCCAAAGATTCTGGGATTCTCCACCCCAACATATTGGTTGCTGTAATAGAAAGGTAACAACAAAAGGTCTCCGCCTCCATCCCCATGTATTTACAGATCTTTTATGCAACTAACTGTACTACTTCACTGCTACAACAACACCAAATGATCGATCTTAAAATGAAAGCCCTGCACCTCAACAAGAAAAAGAGAAAGAAAGAACAAAAATGACCCAAAAGAACAACAAGACTCGAGAAAAAGGCACCCACTCATACTTTTGAGTTTTGAAAACCCGAAATGATCAAACGAAAAAGAAACCACTACAAAAGCGGAAAGCTTGCTGCTGAAGTTTTGTTTGCAGTTCTCTACTACCATAAGGGTCTTGATCTCTTGGAACCGGTGGACTGTGGGCTGATCTGAGGAACAGTGAATACATCTTCCATAGTCCAGCTTCTGTTTGCTTTGCCGTTCCCTGCCTGATTATGATCCTTTGATTCCTTGTTGAAGTACCCATTCTGCATCCCGAATTGCTGATAATGCTCCTGATTTTGAAGAGATGGGTATTGATGAGGAGTTGGTGGCGCCTGCGGAACCCAAATCCCCGAGCTTTCAGATGAGAAGGAGCTCATCAGATCGCTGCCGGCGGTAAAAGGAGGTAGAGCTTCATGATCACCAGGCTGAACACAACAATAGAACAAAACAAACCCGATTGAGTACAAACAAAACCCACAAAATATCTGTGACAGATCAGCAAAAAGTTGCGAACTTTTATCATTCGAACCTTGCAGAAACCAAAAGGGGTTGATGGGTTCTCGAGAAAATCCTCAACGTGCCAACCAGGGAGCATCTCGATCAAATACTCTGAAATACTGCTCGTAGCCGGTGCACCAAACCCTTCCCCTGCCACCAACATATTATTACTCCAGCTATTGTTGTTGTTATTGTTGTTAGAACTGTTACCCCCGACTTTGATGGGTAAGTTGTTGCTCGAAGAATATAAGGTCTTGGCGATTGAATTAGGACCAGGGTTGGTCGACAGTGACACTGGCTTTTTCGCAGGCTGTGGCGGCACAGTAGGCGGAGGGTGAGGCTTAGTCGCGGTAGTCTTAGTGCAGGGGACGAGATCTACGGTGTCGGAGGAGGCAGGGGAGGTGTAGAGAGCGGAAGTGGCGGAGAGCTTCACTCCGGTGAGGAGAAACCGGCTGTGCTGCTTTGTGAACTCGTTGGCCGTGTGGATTGGGACGTCGCAATCCTGACACAAGATCGCCCTGTCCTGCTGGCAGAACAGGAACCCCCGTTTATCCTGCAAAGATCGAGAAAACCCAAATCGAAATCAGTATACTTTTCACTCTAATAACAAGGAAAAGAGTGTTTTTCTTTTCTTTTTCACAGCGGAAAATCGACGAACACCTGGCAGACGTCGCAGAGAGGGAAGGATTTCGGGGAAGAAGGAACGTGGAGGGAGAAACGGAGGTGCTTGGAGGCGAGCTTGTTTGCGTGGTGGACGCGGCGATCGCACCCGTCGCATAGCGCCGCCTCGTCGGCGGTGCAGAACACCGCCGCTTCCTCCTTGTTGCAGACGTCGCACTGGATTTTCATCTTGCGCCGGTGGTATGACGGAGAGGAAAGGGGGTTGAATTTATTGATCGCTGCCGCGGTGGCAGCTGCGGCGGCGGATTGGTGGTTGGGGGGTTAGAAGGAGAAGGAAGCGAAGAGAGGAGGTGAAGAAATGGGGATGGCGGCCATGGACGGAAGTCAGAAGAGGGGAAAAGGAAATGATGGGATGGTGTGATGAGAAGGGAAATGGTGGTGGGTTTTTAAAAATAATTTTTATGTATTTATATATTTTTTTCTATTTTATTGTTTGGTGGCTTTCCCTTAATTAGATGTATGGGAATATAATAAAAGGTGGGAAAAAGATTTGGCAATTACATTAAATAATTTAAATAATGTGAAGGTACAAAAGATTAGATATGAATAAACAATATGGGAAATAGGATTCGATGCTACGAGAAGAAAGATAATGATTATGAAAACAAAAATGGAAAAACAATACATATATGAGAAATGTTTGTTTTTGAGTTGTGAAAGGCCAACTTAGCGGGAACGGATCAGGTCAGTAACCTTATGGTAAGTAATCATGAGTAATCAGTCCACATCAGCATGACATCAGCATCCCCTCTCACCTGGAAAGCCTTTAATTTTTCTCTCCTTAATCTTTGACGGACGATTTCCCACTCATTTAAGGTCGAAATTTAATTTTTTTGCACAGTTAGATCAGATTAATTGTGCTCTTCAAAATTATATCCACTTTGATATATTTTTCGAACAAAAAAAATTGAGCAAGTTTTTACCAGTCTATACCATATGGTATTGACTAGTATTGAAATAAGAGCATACCTATGGTTTGAAAAGCGTACCATGGTGGTATGAACAAACCAAGACTGTAGGATGGTTGAATACTTGATAGTAGAAGTATATTAATTGTCATTTACGACTTTTATCAATGTGTACCACAAGATACCACCCCGTACCAGGGTGGTATTGTATGGTATTGTGTGGTATTTTTTGGTCATGAAATTTGTTCACCCAGAAATTTTTAGATCCAATAGATCATGATGAACTCGTCCCTTCTCTGCAAACGTTTTCAAAAACGAAGAAAATACCATATGGTATGCAGTTGGTAGCGAGAGGTCAAAAAAAAAAAATTCTCAAAAAATATTGAAATTTGATCTCATTTTGTAGAGCACGATGAACTCGTTCCATCTGTGCAAAAAAAATTAAAATCCGAGTTAAAACGAAAAAGATATGAGCCGATTAAGAAAACTAGAGAAAATAAAAATGGTCTTTAATTCTCCTTTTTTAGATCTGGATTTTCTAAATGAAGGGTCCGAATTTGATTATTGATGGGTGCATAACCATCTATCTTGAGCCCAAATTAGCTAATGAAGAAGTGGTCGAGTAATGTGTCTAATTCCAAGAGAGGGTTTGGAATGCTACATAAGTTAGGGTCGTTTGGAAGTTGCGTATGTTAAATCGTTGTATTGTTATGAATCACTATGATATAAATGCATGCATTGATACAATAGATGCATTTTGAAATTACATTGTTTGGTTGTTGAGATTATAATTTATGAATTGATTGTTATAAAGTTACTTTATAAGGAAATGTCATATTTGTCCTCCACTTTTAATATAAAACAAAAAGAACTATGGACATAATTGGAAAAAGTAAAGGTGCTCAATTATTAAACCCACAATCACAACAATCACAACTTTTAGTTGAGATTGTACAATCTCTCATTTTTGTTGATTGTTGGTGGGACCCACACAAAACAATACATGCATTGTTTTGCACCTTGACACTTCCAAACGTTGTATTGTGGACAATGCATATATTTAACAAATACAACACTAACAATCGCAACTTCCAAAAGAAAATGTGGTATGAAATCAAATCGATTCATATTAGATTCGGTGGTGAGTTCAGGGTTTATAGTGAGTAGGGATTGAAAATAATATACTCTAATAATTTTTTTAGTTTGAATTTAATGTTGGAGGAGGGGGATTACAAATTCTCATCCTACCACTTTCTAAATGCTCGTCATGTTTGGCTCTTAGTGACTCAAACGAGCATGTTAGCTTGATGTCAGGTTTCCATCCTTCGTGCATTTTCCGTCTCTTCCGTGCAACACTTCTTGCCGTCAACGATGCCAATTTGGCTGCAATCTTTGGTTCGTTGGTAGTAGTAGTAGTAGGTTCTTTAGTCTTTAGGGCGGTTCGTCTAGCCACATTCTAGACTTCCCGTAGAGGCATACGTGAAGCTCTATTGATTTCCTTTTTTTCAAGATATAGTCATTTGTAGTCTGGTTAGTGTGCAAGCTTTTGTTTTGGAGGGTGTAAGGATGTGTTATTTCTTTTCTAATGTTATATTCTCTTGACATTTCTTAGGCAAAAAAAACTTAGATAAAATGTTAAGGGTGTTATAACCCCTCCTGCACATAGCTCCACCACTTATTAGACCATTTATATATGAAGGGAAAATTAGATAATCAAATAAATTAGATTATCTCATTATTTGATTATCTCGTTAAAACGAATGAGAATAAACTTGAGTCGAATTATATTCGTTTGAAACCGATTCAATATTTGCGTTGACTGAATCGTTGACGAACCTTAATACTTTATATGAATGAAACCACATCTGATGATCCTAGATCTAACTATCTAAGGGTTCTACTAACTACTAGCTATTACCTAGTGAGGTAGACAAAAGGGGAGTAGGAAATGTCCAGCTATGAAATCAAAAGGAATTTTCTATTAATTAAGTTGGGTCTCTAGAGTGGCAGCTTAATTAACTTATAATCTATACTTAATAGAAAGGTTTATGCTTTTAATAAACATGTTTGAGGGTCATGCCCCCAATTATAGGGTTCCATATTCATTTCTTATTGCCTAGCAAGTTGGTTTCCTAATATCCCTCTCCCACTTTTAGTACATAATAATCTTTGTTAGATACTACTAGCTAGAATCATACGTTATTTTAGCTGTTTTAGCTAATTCCAAAAGATTAATTATGTTTCATACCAAATGCTTGTGAAATGGTATATTGGTATTGGATCGGGTTTTATTCATATTGGTTAAATTGTGTAATGAAGACATGTACTGCACTGGTTCAATCTCCCTTATACGGTTTCACAAGCACCATTAAATACCTTATTGGAAACATAGTAACATACCGTAAAATCCTAAACAAAATAAAAACCAAATATAAGTTTTAGAGGATGGGATAGCTAGATTTGCCTAAAGATGCTAGATGCCTTTGAAAAGGTGTGTAATTATGAAATCCATCAACTAGCTCTTTTATCCTTAAATAGTATAGTATACAAGTGGTCAATTATTCATTGTCCCACCCATCCCACCTTTTCTTGCTTCCCACAAAGCGTGTTAGTGATTCTTTTGTTTGGTGCAATTGTGTATTACTGATTCTAATTGCGAGGATTAGTAATTTTCTAGATCTTGATTATCGAGGCCATCAAATCGTGTTCCCTCAAACAGTGAAGCTGACGCCTCAACCTGGATGGTGTGCGCCATTTAAAAAAAAAAAACTAATTAGGCCATTAATCACTGTTAATGAGGCACTTATAGGTTTAGATCTTGATATTTGTTTGACCAAAAGAAAATTATCCGTAAATTGCAAGTTTGGTCATTGAGTTTACTAAAAAATCTCATATTTAGTCACTCAAAATATTTAATTTCAATATTGGTCACTCGAATTAGTAAAATAGTCCAATTTCAGTTACTCTCCGTTAGTCTCTGTTAATCTCCGTTAACACCATCATTCAATTACCGATGTGGCTAACAGAACTGCTGATGCTGACGCACCCAATTTTAACCCGCCACATCACCAAACCTAACCTGCCAAGTCAATCAACCAACCACCTCAGTTACCCCAACCCAACCCATAAACCAACCCTTCCAAACCTGTGACCAATTCTGGTCGACTCCATTTTCCTCTGCCTGGGGTCTGCACGATTCAGATCCAAACCAGTGATCAGATCCAACCAAACTCAATTCTTCCCTCATCCCTCCATCTTTCATGTTCAAATCCTTTCAGCAACACTTAACTATAAAAATCCATATATCTTATTCTTATAAAAAAATATAAATAAAACTGATAACACCAAACTTGGTGCTATTTACCCTACATATTTAGGTGTGTTTTGTGTCAATTCATGTTTTTAAATGCTTGAACATCGTCAATTACATCCCTATTGCGTTCCTATTTGATTTCGATGTGATTTTAGGGTGTATGAGTCGATATGTGCGAATTAGGTACAAAACAAGGTCGCAAGTGTAGAGAAGGGGCAGGAATTGAAGATCGTGGCCTAGAAGCCAAAGATCACGGTCGGGTTCACAAGCCGCGAAGGCCAGCTGAAAATCGCGGTCCGAAAGTTAAGGATCGCGACCGCGGTCTTGGAGGCTTAGGGCGCAAACTTCGCATGGAGGGAGCCTTCAAGAAACAGAGATTTTCCCCAGTCGCATCACGACCAACACTTATCTTTCCCTCGAGAAATATCACAGTCGCGACTCACAGATCACGACCGTGAAGTCAGCCCGCTATCTTCCCCCCTTCAGAAGACCATGACGACGTCGTCTTGAGATCGCGGCCTATCCTCAAAAGATCCCACCTGCGATCTCACATCCTCAGGCCGCGAACTTCCCCGAGTCCAAAATGCCTATAAATAGAAGATCCCTTTCCCCATTTTAAGAAAGCTGTTTTTTATAGAAATTTTATGGTTCTATAGAGAGCAGAGAGAGAAGTTGAAGGAAGGAGAAGAAGGAGGAGCTAGGATCAAGGAGGATCTTCCCCAACTTCAAGTCTTATTCTATTTCCATGTATCTTCTTCCCACCTTTATGGAGTAGTCCTCTAAGGTACTAGGGGTTCTAAACCTCAAACCCTAGTTTTAAGGTTTACTTTGTGTATAGATGTTTTAGGGTTTGAATGAATGAATGAATGTGTTTGCCTAGTTAATTTTAATGCCACTCTTTCCTAAATGATGATGCTAAGGCAACTGACCACAATCTTCCCTCTTAGCCTGCTTTATACTACCGCGTTGGGTACGGAGTTCTAGGGTTAGACGGGTATGCGCCATTTGGCGAGTTTAGGTTAGATGTGTGAATGGGGGCCTATAGTGGTCGATGCGACCGTACCCCTGCTATAGGTGGCTTTCCTAGGTGAAACCCGTGATGAAACCTCGTTGTGGACGATGGATAGTGTGCATTGAAATGAGCCAT